ATCTTCATCTTCTAGCATTTATGTCAAACTAGAGGCCCTGTGCATGAATTTGTGCACTGGTGGGATCTGGCTGGCCCTTCCTGATTGGGGCCAGCCAGTTGAGGGGGGGAGATTTAGAGAGGTTGGCCAGCTGGCCCCATCTCCAATCAGGCTGGTTGGCCAGCTGCAGTGCATGTCATAGTGACCACTCTTTCTGGTTGTTTGGTCGCTTGGCTTTTATATATATAGATTAGAGCCCTGGAGGTCATGCTATGGCTTGCTTTGTTCATTATTAAAGAGAAAGTTGTAAATAGTGCAAATGAACCCATTATATCCCTCAACAATCAAAGCTGGATCCCCATTGACACATTAATCACTTGTTCTCCAGTTAAGTGAGATAGTTTTGTAACTCTCCTAGGGTATAATCCCCTGAGAGTTCCATGACTATATAACTTCCCTCTGGTTTTATTCCTTAATTTTTCAAGACCTACTAAATTCCATTTGGCAGCCTAAGAACCAGAGTTCCTTTAGCCATTCATTTATTCATCTAATTTTTAAGTAGTGGTCTAGTAGCCATAATGACTGACCTTCCTCCATAATGACCTTTTGATAGTTCTAAGAACAAGAAGCAATGTCAAAAGAAAACAACTGCAAATAATAGTGATAATGAGTGTGATTATGATGGACACCCTTGACCAAGTGTAAGACATTTTAGGGAAGTCCTTACTTTCTTACATAGCAGCAGTATTTAGAGAGGGTGTTATTGAGCTGCCTTTTTATTATTTCCACTTTATATATGAACATATCAAGACTCAAACTGGTGAAGTGATTTACCTAAGAAAAATGAGCAGCAGATTCAGGTTTAGATCTTTTGTTAGCTGATTCCAAAGAAAATAGCACTTTTTTTCTTCAGAGAACTTTAAACACTTTGGCCAAACACTAATGAAGAACATCCCAAAAGAATGTTACTTTTATCACATACTGAACTTCTGATTTAAGATTCACTCAGATATGAAGATGCTGAACTTGTATGATGTATTTTTTCAGGGAATAAGGTAAACCTATATATCTACTAGATCAAGTCTGCTGTCTGCATAAATTTGCATGGCTGAAGGTAATCAAGAAAATGCATCAAAAAATAATTTATCCTTTGATTTATTTAAAGATTGTGCTTGAATGTTTTGAGTATTTCTTTTTTTAAACTTTGATTTTCTTCTTTTTTTAATAAATTTTTTTTATTTCAGAGAGGAAGGGAAAGGGGGAAAGAGATGTAAACATCAATGATGGGAGCAAATCATTGAATTGCAGCTTTCTGCACACTCCATAATGGGGATCCAGCCTGAAACCCAGGCATATGCTCTGACCAGGAATCAAACCATAACCATCTGGTTCATAAATCCATGCTCCACCACTGAGCCTTGCTGGCTGGGCCACATTTTACTACTTTTCTTGTTGACACTATTACAGATGCTCCCATTTCCCCTACCTCTCCTCCGCCCCCTGCCCCCTTCCCTCTGGCCAACGTATAGTCTAAACATTGTAGAGAACCTATTAGAACATGTATGTTTATCATGTGACATAGAGGAAAAACACATAAAGATTTAAGTCTCTGCTAAGTGTAAGCTGATTTAAATTAGTTTAACGTCAGTTTTCTCTTTCAGGGGATGTGGTGATACAATATTAGTTATTTTGACTAATCCCAGAATTGCTGAGAAAATCAAATGGAGTATCAATATAAAATTTTCTTGTAATATTGGAGCTAATAATTAAAAAGGGAAAAAAGAAACAGAGAAAAATAATGAGGGAAAAAATCAGGCTTAGGAATAAATCATAAAATGAACTAAAATGAAGATTGCTGAAATCACTTAAGACTTAACTAATTATGGAAATAGATCTGATCTCAAGTTCTACTTTGCTATTAAAGAGTTATCTGGGGTTGGGCACTTGATTTATTAACTATTACTTGGGCTGACTAATGGATTATAGTGTAAATGAGATAAACTATCATTACACAGTCTAAGCAAATGAGAAAACAATGCGTACTCTTGGGAATGGAAAATTGAACTAGCTCATAATATTCATCAGTTTATATAACTGTCTCACTTCACTGATATCCTGAGGTCAGGGATTGTATCTTGCTTGTGCATCTCAGCAGGCATGGAAATCAGCACTATAGGAATACCAAGCACTATAGGGACTTGGTATTCAAGAAGTGAATGAAGTCATGGACAGCATCCAGCACTTTCTGTGGCTTACCAGTTGGTGTTATTAGTTAGGTTCTTTTTTTTTTTTTTTTTTAACTATTTGAGGATTTTTGAGGTTTGAAGTGGGTTGTAAACATTTGTGGATCCAGTTTTTGTTATTCAACTAAGATCCAGAAAGATAGTTATTTACACAAAATCACACAACCACTTGATTCCCACTTTGGACTTTTTAATTATTCACATTGACTTCCAATGAGAGATTGACTTAATCAGTTAATCAACCAATCAACTAAACGAGTTGTGCCCAATTTAGGTTAAATGTAAAAAGTTTACGGCAATATTTCTTCTTGATAAAGAGCCAAGATTTAGATTCACAGTAACTTGGCTTCAAATTCCAGCTCTGCATCTTTCTTCAGCCTTAAGCGAGTAACATATATGTGCATTGAACCATTAGAAATTACCAACATAGTTCAAATTCATGAATCTGTTGTAGCCATTTTCATCTCTAAACTCCAGATTGCATGTCCACTTATTTATCCAATATTTCTACATGAATATCCAAAAGGGATCTCAGACTTGATGAAATTATCTCCCCCTCCTTTTCCCAAACATTTGTTTCTCTTACACTATTCTGAATATCACTGTACAAAAATTGGAGTCAGCATTGACTCCGCTCTCTCTCTCATGCCCTTTTTCAATACATCAGGAAGTTTAGTTACCTCTTCTTTTGAAATATATACCAAAGTGGATAACTTTTCATTATCCCTCACACTATCATCTTGGTCCCAGAAATCATCATCTTTTACCTAGAATGATAATGACCTAATTTTCTAGCACCTTTCCTTTTTTTTTATTTTTATTGATTTTTCACAGAGAGGAAGGGAAAGAGATAGCTAGAAATGTCGATGAGAGAGAAACATTGACCAGCTGCCTCTTGCACACCCCCTACCGGGGATGTGCCCGCAGCCAACGTACATGCCCTTGACCGGAATTGAACCTGGGACCTTTCAGTCTGCAGACCGACGCTCTATCCACTGAGCCAAGCCGGTTTCAGCAGCACTTTTCATACTTATCCTGCTAAATTTAATTATCGACAGATCTAATATAGTGATCCTTTTTAATAAGTAATCCATTTTGTCACCTATGATTCAAATCCTATAATGCTTTCCAATATCACTCAGAATAAAAGTCTAATAACTTAAAAAGTAATTTATTAAGTTCTTACTTCACCCACTGTACCTCTCTGACCTAATCTCCTCTTCACATTGCAGCCATAATGTTTTCTTGCTGTCCTTGAACAATCTTGGCATGTTCAAACCCCAGCAATTTTGCATTTCCTGGTGTGTTTTTTTGTTTTGTTTTTTGGCCTTAAATATTCTTCCCCAAAGTTCAAGCCCTGCTCAAAACTTTAGGTATTTGCTCAAAAGTTTTCTTTTATAGATGAGTCTCTCCTAAACCACCATGTTTAAAATTATATACCTACCTATCTTTAAAGTTACCCATCTCCCACTTAGCTTTTGAAAAAATATCTAAATATACTATATATTTTCCTATTGATTTTATTCTATATCTGCCTCCATTTTCAAAATAGAAATTACTGTTTTTCCTTTTATTTCCAGTGTATATGGCAGTATCATGCTTATAGTAGCCACTCAACTAGATTTTTTAAATGAAATGCATCATTGGACCAAATATATTAGTACTGCAATATAATTAATCTTTTAAAGGTTTTTAATCTCTAAAATACTTAGCTAAAATTTTTAAATATAATAGGTAAAATTATTAGACTTCATTTTGAAATGATTCTTGATTTAAAAAAATAAATAGATATTCCATGTTAGGATTTTATATAGGTTTCAAAAATTTCCTTACATAATTATAACACAGAAATGTCTAAAAATTGTTATTATTTTTATCTGTGATGGTAAGTAGCAGAAGTGATGTTATCAAACCTTTGGTTTTGCCCTTATCTGGAAGTTCCATCTTATATTACCCACTTCTCTTATCCCAAGTAGATCTAGCCCTCTGTCTAAGTTGTAATATTTAACAACCTACATAGTTCCAGTTTTCATGATCAACTCAATTTGATAGGGGAAATGTTGCACATTGCCCAAGTTCATTGATTATGTAAGTAGTGGAGGTGGGATTTTCATATTTTAACATGGCTTTTACATGGCCCCCAGATCAGAGACATCTAAATGCAGAAGTTTAAAATAGTACTAGTGTAATGAATTTCTATTGTCTTCTTATTATTTGATAAATTACACATTATGTACTATATTGAGAGCATTTAAGGCTAAGGACATGTTTTAACTCTTCCCCTATCATATATCACTGTTGTTGATTCAATGGAAGAGACAAAAAAAAAGCCAATTGAAGTAATATTAATTCAATTTCACATTAATTTTATGAAGTTATTCTAATTTAATATAAAGAATAATTTGTGGTTACTCTGTAAACTTTGAATTGGGAGTCTGTGCTCCTTCCATGAGCAACTATAATCAGATAACATTGCAGACGTCCTTTCTTTTCTTCTCTTTATCTTAATTCAGTCTTATATGAAGTTAGGAGATTAGGATATATTATCTCTAAATCTTTCTACCTGGATATTCTATGATCTAGTTATAATTTATAACTGCATTTTATTGTCATAGCCATCCTTCAGATCTACAGACTTCTGGAAACATGCTGTTGCAATAGTGAAATGAGCCAAAGAGTGGACATGCTGGTTGGTTTCAGCAGTCTTATCCCCATTTGTCATTCTGATTCTGTTTTTTCATTGCTACAGGGCAGCCACATAAATCTCACCTGATCCTCATGGAAAACAGTACTGAGGTGACTGAGTTCATTCTTGTGGGGCTAACAGATGATCCGAAACTGCAGATGCCACTTTTCATAGTCTTTTCCTTCATCTACTTCATCACTCTGCTTGGGAACTTGGGGATGATTAACCTTATCCTGTTGGACTCTCGTCTCCACACACCCATGTACGTTTTCCTCAGTAACCTCTCCCTGATGGACTTTGGTTATTCCTCAGCTGTCACTCCCAAAGTGATGGCAGGATTCCTCACAGGAGAAAAAATAATCAACTATAATGCTTGTGTCAGCCAGTTCTTTTTCTTTGCAGCTTTCATCACTGTAGGGAATTTTCTCTTGGCCTCCATGGCCTATGACCGCTACACGGCAGTGAGGAAACCCCTGCATTATACCACCACCATGACGTCAGGTGTGTGTGCACGCCTGGTCATAGGCTCCTACATCTGTGGTTTCCTGAATGCCTCCATCCACACTGGGGACATGTTTAGTCTCTCCTTCTGTAAGTCCAATGTGATTGATGATTTTTTCTGTGATGCTCCTCCTCTCTTGGCTCTCTCATGTTCAGACAAATACATCACTGAGATGGCTATTTTTTTGACGGTTGGTTTCAATGTCCTCTTTTCTGTCCTGATCATCTTGTTCTCCTACTTGTTTATATTTATCACCATCCTGAGAATGCACTCATCTCAGGGCCGCCAAAAGGCCTTTTCCACCTGCGCTTCCCACCTCATTGCAGTCTCCATCTTTTATGGGACAGGCATCTTCATGTATTTACAGCCCAGCTCCAGTCATTCCATGGACACAGACAAAATTGCATCTGTGTTCTATACCATGGTCATACCCATGCTGAACCCTCTGGTCTATAGTCTGAGGAACAAAGAGGTCAAGAGTGCCTTTAAAAAGGCTGTAGGAAAGGCAAAGTCCTCTATAGGATTCATAGTTTAATTATATAGAACCAACAGTAAGACAGTTTCATATAGCTCAGGTCTATCTGGATAAAATATTTACCTTTCTGGCCACAAAATTCCCAATTTCTTGTAGTAATTTCTCCAACAATTACATCTCCAAAGCAAATGTCTTTTTTTAAATTTATTAAATTGATTGGGGTGACATTGGTCAACATGATCATAGGTTTCAGGTGTGGGTTTCCACGTTACAAGATTTGTATATTGCCCTGTGTATCCACCACCCAAAGTCAAATCTTCTCCTGTCACCTTATATTAGGACCCCCTTTTCTTCCCATTCCCTTCCCTCTGACTACCACCACACTTCTGTTTGTGTTCATGAATGTCAGTTTTATGTCCTACATACGAATGAAATCATGTTTCTTAGCTTTTTCTGACAGACATTTCCTTTAGCGTAATGCAAAAATTTTAAAAATATGACACCTAAGAACAATAGGTTAAGAATACTAATCCATAAATATACAATTATTATTTTTAAAATATTTTAAATAAATGTGCTCACTCCCACTCCCATATGAACATGTACACTAATGTGTATGTATAAGTATATGCATACACAAGTATCATTTATGAGAGACTCGTGAAACCCACATACCTATGGAAGGAGAAATTAGTTAAGATGTGCATGAGACAAAGAGAGAATGTTAAAAGCAGCAAAAGAAAAGCAGTTAGTTACCTATCAGGGAGCACCCATATGATTGTCAGCTGATTTCTCAACAGAAACTATTCAGGCCAGACGTGAGTGGCAAGAAATATTCAAAGTAATGAATAGCAAAAACCTACAACCAAGATTACTCTACCCAGCAAAGCTATCATTCGAATTGAAGGCCAGATAAAGAGCTTCACAAATAAAAAAAATCTAAAGGAGTTCAGCACCGCCAAACCAGAATTATATGAAATGCTGAAGAGGGTTCTTTAAGAAGAGAAAGAAGAAGATAAAGATAAAAATTATGAACAACAAATAGTTATCAACAAGTGAATCTAAAAATCAAGGGAATAAAAAATCTGATGAACAGTATTAACTGGTGAATATAATAGAATCAGGTGTATAGAAAAGGAATGGACTGATGATTCTCAGGGAAAAGGGGAGGGTGTGTGTGGGAAGAGACTGAACAAAAATCATACACCTATGGATGAGGACAGTGGGGAAAGGGCAGAGGGTAGGATAGGAACCTGGTGCAGGGGAGCTATGGAGGGAAAAAAAGAGGAACAATTGTAATAATCTGAACAATAAAGATTTATTAAATTTAAAAAAGATGTGCATGAGATAAGACCATTGTTATAGTAGAATTTAAAACAATTATTTTTATGTCTGAGAACACATTCTTTTTTTAACTGTTGACATTGTTACATATGTCCCCTTCTTTCCAACTTTTTCCCATCTCTACCCAGCCCCTGCCCTCTCTTCCCTCTGGCCATCACATATGTGTTCTGTGACCTATAGGTTCTGTGACTAATCTTTTCACTTTTCTTCATCCAGTCCTCCCACCCCATATTAATATAAATATTTAACTTAGTAATAATATATGTTATATATCCTGTGTTTGTTTGTTAAATTGTATTTTACTTTATCTTTTACATATAAAAAGCAATAGATTTTTTATTTTTATTAATCTTATAAAATACTTCCTTGAGTATATATTTATTATTTTTTTGTAATGAAAATGCATGCTTTTTACACAGGCATTTTCTTTCCTTGCCAAATTTTCATGTTAATAAGTCATATCTTCATGCTACCTGATTTCAAATTATACTACAGAACTATGATAATCAAAACAGCATGGTATTGGCAGAGAAACAGACACACAGACAAATGAAACAGAATAAAGAGGCCAGCTATAAAAACACATGTACATACAATTAATCCATGAATATTCAGATAATTTTTGAAAAAGTATCCAGGAACACACAATGGAGTAAAGATAGTCTCTTCAACAAAAGATGCTGGGGAAACTGGAAAGCCATATGCAAATAATTGAAACTGGATTACAGTTTGTTTCCACATACAAAAGTTAATTCACAATAGATCAAAGACCTTAATATAAGAACTGAAACAATAAGATTAAAGAAAATATAGGTACCAAACTATGGACCTTGGTCATAGAGAACTTTTTGTGAACTCCACCTCAAAGAAAAGGAAACTAAAGGCAAAAATAAATGGGACTATATCAAACTAAAAAGCTTCTGCATAGCAAAAGAAACTGACAATAAAATAAAGAGACAGCCAACCAGGAGATGATATATGCAAACAATAGCTCCAACAAAGGTTTAATTTCCAAAATATATAAAGAACTCATAAAACTCAACACCAAACAATCAAACAACCCAATAAAAAAGTGGGCAGAGGACCTGGAAATACATCTCTCCCAAGAAGACATACAAACAGCCATTAGATATATGAAAAAATGTTCAACCTTATTGGCAATTAGGGAAATGCAAATAAAAACTATAAGACCACTTCAAAACTGTTAGAATGGCCATTATCAATAAGACAAGAATTAGCAAGTATTGGAAAAGTTGTGGAAAAAAGAAAACCCTCATTCATTGCTGGTGTGAATATAGACTGGTACAATCACTATGGAAAGCAAGTTGGTGATTTCTCAAAAAATTGAGAATAGACCTATCATATAACCGAGCAATCCCTCTTCTGGGGATATACCCAAAAACCCTCAAAATCATATATTTACAAAAATATGCACCCCTATGTACATGGCAGAATTACTCACGGTGGCCAAGACATGGAAACAATCAAAAAGTCTTGCTGTAGAGGATTAGATAAAGAAGATGTGGTACATATACACAATGAAATACTACTAAGCTATAATAGTGTCTGAAATAGTGTCATTTGCAACAACATGGATGGGCCTTTAGAACATTTTTCTAAATAAAATAAGTCAGTCAGAAAAAACTAAGAACGTATGATTTCACTCATATCTTATCTAATAAAAGAGTAATATGCAGATTGGCCATCACTCCAACACACAATATGGCTGCTCCCATGTGGTCAAAGATCCTGCCCCCAGGTGGACACAAGATGACCACCACAAGATGGCCAGGAGGGAGGGCAGTTGGGAGGGACCAGGCCTGCAAGGGAAGGCAGTTGGAGGTGATCAACCCTGCAGGTAAAGGCAGTTAGGGGTGACCAGGCTGGCAGAGGAGGGAAGTTGAGGGCAAACAGGCTGGCAGGGGAGCAGTTAGACATCAATCAGGCTGCTAGGGGAGGTGTTAGGGGGTGATCAGGCTGGCAGGCAGAAGCGGTTAGGGGAAATCAGGAAGGCAGGCAGGCGAGCAGTTGGAGCCAGCAGTCCTGGATTGTGAGAGGGATGTCCAACCAGGATCGGGCCTAAACAGGCAGTTGGACATCCGTCAAGGTGTCCCAGATTGGAGAGGGTGCAGGCTGGGCTGAGGGACACCCTCCCCCCTGCCCCTGTGCACAAATTTCATGCACCAGGCCTCTAGTTTGGGATATAAAACTGAAACTTATCAACACAAACAGCAGTGTGGTAGCAGCCAGAGGAAAGGAGATGGAGGGAAAATGGGATCCTACTATAAGGTGATAGAAGATTTGATTTTGGGTGGTGGACACATGGTGCAATATACAGATCTTGTAACATAAAAACCCACACGTGAAACCTATATGTTCATGTTGACTAATGTCACCCCAATAAATCTAATAATAAAAATTAGGTCATATCTAAAAATAACGTTTATATGAAATTTTTATTTATTTTTAAAAATATTTTTATTGTTGATACTATTTGTAATACTAGTATCAACAATAAAAATATATTAAAAATAAAAAATATTTCTCCTCTTTACCCCTCTCCTCCCAGCCCATATCCACCTCCCAGGTCTATTACAATTGCCTGTGTCCATGGGTTATACATATAAGTATATAAGTTCTTTGATTTAGCTATTCTCATCACCCCAACCCCACAATGAGGTATGTGACAATTTTAATGAAGGAAATATATTACAAAATAGGGGGAAAAGAAATGACAAAAGTATATTTTAATTCATTTAAATAAAAATATAACATTTAATTTTTAAAGTTTAACTTCCAAAAAGACAACACTAATAACTTATTTGTATGTAAATTTGTTAATATGCTGTATACATATCTGCTCATATTTTAAACCTAACTATGATAAAATTTGAATCTATATGTATATCCATTTCTTTCCTCAGATTTGAGAAAATTTTGACCATTTATTTTTTCAAATATCCTTTCTGGCCCTTTTTCTCTCTCCTTTTTTGGACTGCCATTAATCATAGGTTGATATTCTTATATAATAGTATTCCACTGTTCTCTGAGACTATGGTTTTCCTTCAAAATTCTTTATTTCTGCTTCTCAGACTGGATTTCTCAACTCACCTGTCTTAAAGTGCACTGATATTTCCCCCTGCCAGTTTAAATCTGCTACTGATCCATTTTAATGAAATATTTATTATTTAATTTCATTTTTAAATCAAGAATTGCTATTTGTTTTTTTTGAAATTTATATCTTTATTGGTTTATCTATTTAGTGAGACATTGCTCTAATATGTCCCTTAATTTTTTAGACTAGATTTTCTTTAGTTCTTTTCTTTACACCAGTTTTCATACAGTGGGGAATTATTAAAAATGGAAGAGTTTGGGTAAAGAGCATGCACAAAAATGTCATACCTCAGCTCCTCGTGGCCATGTTATATAGTTTCTACATAGAAATATAGCTGGAAGTGTATGTGTATAATGTACCACCGATGAATCCTTAATTATTAACACACACTCCAACCCCACAACTACATGTTAGGGTCTTTGGAATTAACTCATGGTGACTTCTAAGGTCTCTAAAGGATAAATGATTTATTCCAGATAAAATAGACACTCTTTCAAAAGTGAATGGAGTCTTTCTCACACAAAGTAAAACTTTGTAATTGTTTCATAGTGTTTGATGAGAGTTCACAATATACCAGGCTCTGCTTTAAAACCCTTTCACA